AGGATTCAGGGTTTAATTAGGGTTCAGGATTCAGGGTTGAGGGTGTGCAGCCTGCTCTCACCACCTCAAACCATATGAGGGGACAGGAAATCTGATTAAGGAGCAAATTCTCTCTTGTGAGGCCTGGCGTGCGTGTTTATTCTAATATCCAGGCCATGCACAACCTTACTTGCTATTACGTGAACCCTGGATGTCCCACTTTATGGGTGGTTATTTCTAAAAGGATGTAGCACAGAACCCCAGAAAGCAAGGACATCCAGGGTCCAGGTATTACGTACTGTTACTTGCTCGCGAGCACTCGGGAGCATAGACCCCAACCCTAGGCAAGGCCGTGACCTTGTGCCGTATGATTGTGGAGCTTAGAGTTTGGGCATCATAAGGGAGATGATGAAAACCAAGCTAAAATTGGGCGTCTCTACTGTTATCAAGGTATATTGGGGCAGTTGAAGTCATAGTCATATGGGACGTGCTGCTGAAAGAGTTATTTTGTCCCCAGGAGTACGGTTTTTTCTCAGCGCTAAACCTCCTCTTCAAGCCCCAACATGATCTTGTTCTTACTGTAAGTAACCCAAACAAATCTAAGGCCTTGCTGGGCCCCTTGCTCCTACACCAACACTTCTAGGTAGTTCAGAAGCTTTTGCCCTTTGTAAGCAAGTATACACACGGTGTAACCGCTTAAGGTCTATTAGATTGTTTGGTTGGACCTGTTGCAACACTTCAGCAAAAACACCGAGGTATAAGGTTATGGGCCATGCTACCAAGATCGAAATGACCGTTCAACTGGCCCTTCTGACCCATAGTTCCTCTGCATGGTTCCCCGTGGACACCCCGCGTATACAAACGTACCAATGTTCCTACAGAAGCCTGTAGCGGGCTGGGGGAGTCGATCTTCATTACTACACTTCTCGAACCCACATGTATATACTACGATGACAAATTTCTGTGTTCAGCCTCCCACTGATGTTGTTGGAGGAACACCCCCCAAACCTTATACAGTCCGTAAATCATGCCCCTATAAAAACCCTGTACGAGCCCTCTATAAATACCTTCGATTTTTTAACCCGCTACATATCCCATATAGTATAAGCCCTCAAACAATTCCTTTCATAGCCCTATATATGGCCCCCTGTAGATTCTCCCTTCCCGTCATGGCATAGGTACTTAACTCACCCAAACAGCGCCTCGAGTATGACCTCGCGCAGCCACTCGCCCAGCCAGCACTTCTACGGTTCAGGTCTTAGGGTTATATTGGGGTTATCTTGGGATAATGGAAAACTTAATGGAAACTACTATTTAGGGTTAGGTTTTAGGTTTGAGGGTTCAGGGTTCAGGATCAAGTTTCTTAGGATTTATGTTAGCAGTTGTTATTTTCTATTGTCGTACAGGGGTTACCAATTATAGGTTGGCACGGTAGCTATTAATGTGGGGGGTTGCAGACATGGGACCGGAATCCTCGATATGGATAGCGGCTGTAATGTACATTGCACTGCTCATAGCAGCAGTAATAGAAAATGAATCGCTGAGCGCAAAAACTGAAGTTTGGGTCATTCACCCTTACAGTAGCTGCCCTTAAAGGGTTCTTATTCAGGAGCTATTATTACTGCTACTACCCAAACCCTAAACCCTAAACCCATTGTGGTAGCTGTTACTGTAAGGGAAAATTATCCAAACTAAGAAGTCAACGCGGGAGAACTGAGCACTGCAGGGTCCAGAACCTTTCAACACTCCTTCTCTTTAGGGTTTAGGGTTTAGGGTTCAGCAACTTGTTGGAGGTCTCTGTAAACCTGGCCGCATGTGTCCCTAAACTGCGTGGATCCTCATCTTGAGCTGCTTCATGCTGAGGAGCTTGGAGCACCGCTCTTGCAACCGTCCCTTAAAACTGAAGGCGCATATATGGGGGTACATAAAGAGGAGAAGCGAGATTGAATGGAGCATGAGACAGAAACTGGGATTAGGTAGGGCTTCATAGGATTTAGGGTTAGGCACGGAAAAAGCAACGTATGATCAGATAAGACCCTATAAATTCCGGTAGTTGTGATTATCCACAAGTACTATAGATTAGCGGTTTGGGTTCTGGGTTTAGGGGGAACACTGGGTTCTGTAAAATGCCTACCTAGCTGACAGAACAGGAGCAGTCTATGCTGAATGTGACCCATATGATCTACTCCCAATATTAGCCTTATTAGACCCACATGTAGCTTTGTATAGTCCCTGATAGCGAACCCATTTCCATTAATTACATGGGGAGTTTGATTGTAGACCCCATATAACCCTATAGAACCTTGTATAACCCCGTATAACCCTGGGAAATGTTGCTTGTAGCTCACATAAACGCCGGTACGTTGCTCCAGGCCCTTCCCAGATGATTTCAGACCAGCGCCCGAGTCTGGAGGAGCCCTGATTCCTTGTTGAGCGATTAGGTTTATTTTAGGGATTAGAGTTTATTAGTGTTTAGGGTATAGGGTTTAATGTTTAGGGTAAAAGGTTCAGGGTATAGGGTTTAGTGTTTAGTGTTCAGGGTATAGAGTCTAGTCTTTCGGGTACAGGGTTCAGTGTTTAGGGTATGGGGTTTAGGGTTTTCTTACTGGTGCGAAGAAGGGGTAGTGGGGGAGTGAACATAGGGATTCTAGGGAATTGCAGTATGTTGGGCATGCATACAAAGGAGGGCCGAGAAGAACATGTCGTTTCCATGGGAGTTCCCCTGAATCAGATCTGGTATTTCCAAAAATGAGGATGCCCGTTGTACTTCTCAACATACTATATGCCATTATCCCAGCTGTCATAACCTGGAAAAATTATGGAATACCCTAAATGGAGCCTAATTTTGGGATCCTTGCAGACAGACAGCTGATGGTAGAGCCCCGCCTCAGGAAATATGGAGTACGGGCTGGGGGGCTTTCGAACCAGTGGTTTTGAGAAATAGTTCTCGAAACGGGTTCGTAATTTGAGTCGCCACCTACATCCAGCCAGAATTTTCCACAAGCCCTGCCGCATGCATGTAAGTAAGCGAATGAACAATAAAACCGGTTCAATCTGTAGTCGCGTGTACCTGTTCTCATAAAGATTTCACCATCTCTGTATATAGTCTCCTTCGTTTCAATTTTAGTAAAACCCTAAGAAATTCATCGTTTCCCCTAAATATTGAACGACGTCCGCCCCCCAGCCCCCCAAAAATTTTTTTTATCCGGGCCCCATACTAGGGGGAATTATTTTCTGTCAGAAGTAGACGAGGCTGCCTTTAAGGTCCTCGTAAGTGAGCCCCCCTAATTCATTATTAGGTGCCCCCTTTTAAAAGTAGTCTCCCCCTTT